TCACGGGTCTGAACAGAACCACTTCCAACATAGAGCCCCGCACTTACACCAGAAGTAATGGCATCGAGGAGGCCGAGGATATCAAATACATCGAGTAATCATATATTTATTTGTTTTTAATGTATTTGTGGCTATTTGCAATAACAATACAAATATAAACTATTATTGTATGGATGCCATCAATATATCTGGTCGTCAGACACCACCCGCGCGGGCAAACAAATACAAGTCCCCGATGTCGGCGCCCACTAACAAACGGCAGTGGTCTCTACCCCGACGGCTCATGTCTATGGGCTTCACGGGTCTGAACAGAACCACTTCCAACATAGAGCCCCGCACTTACACCAGAAGTAATGGCATCGAGGAGGCCGAGGATATCAAATACATCGAGTAATCATATATTTATTTGTTTTTAATGTATTTGTGGCTAACAGTAGATAATTGTGTGACAAATAGTGATGTGGAGAACGAGGCCATCAAAGATGAGCTTTTTGGTGAATTTGGCTTCACTTTCGATCAAATCACTGAAATGCAAGGCTTGAGCATCGCATCCGCTATACTCAAGACATACCCAATCGTTGTGAATAACAAAACCACTAAAGTATTGATATGTTGTGGCTCTGAGTTGTTGGGCAAGAGTGGACTGGTAGCCGCCCGACACCTCAAATTATTCGTGAGTTCATTCATGCGTCACATCCTTGACCTGGTTCACACAAACACACAAATAGCCCTAAAATAGCCACTCATTTCATGAAAACAAAAATTTCTAAATTAATAATTCATATAACAATTAGTGTTTTTCGTGATTATTGTCTAATGTTTTTGTTCATTAATACTAATACTAATGTCTAACTCATTAGGGGTTTCGTCCGACTATTTATAACCCACAGCCGGGAAAGACACCTCATTATCACCGACTGATCAGACAGTGCCAGGAGTTTGAGATCTCATTCCTATCGTATTTGCCAAACGAGTCGCGACTAATCGCAGAATCCTATGAAT